CACAAAAAAAAAAAAAAAAAAATGAGTCAAGGGCAGATTCCTTCCTGGCAATATGACGCCCTCCATATGGAAGCCATTGACTGTCTCATGTCTGATGATGTCATAGCAAGAGGCCAGGTCTCTAATGAGGCACATACAGAGAGAGAAACACTGGCATTCCCAGAAACAAGGGCCATAGTTTTATTTAGAGAGTCAGGAAGTGACTGTACATACACGTGTTGCATGTTCACCCCTTGTGTTTCTCTCTGCCAGGTGAGTTACGTTGAGGGCACTGCTTTGGTCATAGGTTTTGAGGACCCCATGGTACGTACGGACGACACCCCGGTCAAGCGCTGTCTACAGACCAAATGGCCCTACATCGAGCTCCTGTGGACCACAGAAAGGTCGCCCTCCCTCAATTAACCTTTATGTCTCACCTTTCACCTGCCAAGCTCTGGCTACACAACCCGCTGACTTCAGGAACGCTCATAGGACTCCTCACTCTCTCTGCGCTACATTTAGGAGGCCAACACGGGGGCCTGAAGTTCAAATGAGAGACGATGCTCTTCGCCTGGCACTCACACAAAGCCTCTTGTTTGCTTTTTTACACATCTCAACCGGCTTGATTATTGGGCTAATTTTGTTTAAAGCCCTGGAGTTGAACAAAAAAGGTGTTTGTTTTTTTGTTTTTTCTAAATTATGTTGCTTTCTGTTGCCATCTGTTGTGAATACCAAATGTATTTGCTTTTGCAGGTGTTCATATTATTTTTGTTAACTTTCTACATGATTTTGTTTACTGGTCTGAAATGAAAAATCTTTGAATTAGCACACCAAATGTGATGATCTTATGAGTAATTTATGAAATTGTTAATATATATATATTTTTTTGTTGTTGTTTTTTTTTCATTTGAAGTTTCATTGTTAGTAGTTGTAAATATTTAAGGGATCATTTGACCAAAGCCTCTGGTTGGACATAAAGTATTTGTGTTTGTCAGTGGTCAGCTGAGGAGCTGCCATGTTCTGCAGCGCTCGGCCCTGAGAGGAAGTCTGTTTAGACAGGTTTACAAAAGAATGCACTACAACCACATGCTGGGCACCAAACATCAGTGGGAAAATAGGGCAATTTTAGTATTTAAACTTTGAAGCTACAACCCTCCAGGAGGGAATCTGGAATGACAGGAGGGATTCTCTGCATGAGAGACAAGAAGAATAACACTGACAAATGCTCACACTTTATTTATTCTGATCCTGATGGTTCACTAAAATAAACACTTTTGCTCTTCATGTCTGGACTGTAACACTACAGTTTGTCTTGTATAAGATGAAATGGCCCTGACTAAAAGATAAGTGAAAGGATTTCTAGCACTTTATTTTTTTTAATTCACTGAAAAACTAATCGTGTCAATCAGAACGTCTTTCATGTTTTCTTATGCTGTCAGTAGAGGAAGCTGTAGCAGATCCTGGCATAGAGCGACAGCGTTAGGAACATTAGGCTACACCTGCAGATCGGATGGGAAAAAAATGTTGCATGTGACTTGAACTCACTACTTCCTGACAGTAACTGTCTACTACAGGAAAATTGCTATTTTGCTGTAGCCAAAATTTCGTCACAGATTAGGTAAGTAAAATAGGCAAGTAGGTGCTATGTTTGATGATAGATTTTTACCACTATTCTTTTAATGTAATTTGTTTAGCTATTTTTTTATTATAATGTATAATGAAATGTATATAAATGTTAATATATTAACAAATATTTAATATAAATATTAATAATATAAATATTTTTACTAACCATTCTAACCCTTGTTGTTTTAAATTACATTTTTATCCATACTTGAATAAATTTTAAATGCATGCTTGAATATAAATATATATGAAAATATATGTGTGTGTAAAGTATAACATATAAATGTATAAATAAATATGTAAAAAAATAATTAAATCTATAAATAAATATTACAAATAGTATTGCAAATTACACAAATTCCATTAAAAGAATAGTGTAGTCTGACATGGCCTGCCCATATTTTATTTTTTGCATATATTTACGCATATATTCAAGTATGGATAACTTTCTTTTTTTTTTCACGTTTTCCAACCATTCTCTCTTGCTCTTAAATGAAGCGATTGAAAGAATATCATCATCCTCTACATCAGTGGTTCTCAACCAGGGTGCCATAAGATGACTTAAAATGATATAAATTCATTTATATTAAAATAATTGAAATGCAAAAAAATCTAAATGTTAATTTTTTGTTATTATTATTAACTATTGTTTTATTACATAACATACAGTTTACACTTCTAGTCTGGAATCACAAAAATTGTGGTTATTTTTTTTTTTTTTTTTTAAA